AAGAATGTGATTTGTTGCAAGATTTCCAACTCTAAGTGATGTTTAGAAATTAATTTATTTCTAATCTTCATTCAAGTCTCTAATTAAATTCATGTTATGGTAGAGCCACACCAAGTCCACAATATGGTTACAAACATCCAAGAAATATGCAAGAATTAAATTAACATTGGAATGTTTTGAGACCAAGATTATGCATGTTTAATCATGGCAAAACAGTCCCATGCAAGAGGTGACAAGTTGCCTCATGTCACAAAATATGCATGTCACAAGACCAAGGAAATGAACCCACAATGATGCATTTATATACTAAATATCAGATTTTTCAAAATGCTGTCAAAAAGGTAGAAGCATTGACCACAAGAGTTGTCAAGACACAAGCCAACAAAAGGGGTGCAAGATACAAAGTGCAGCAGAAAAAAGACAGCAATGTAGAGGGTTGTAGAAAAAGACAGCATGAGAAAGTAGTGCAGAAAAATGTAGCATAGCCATATACATGGAAATGGAAAGAAAGAGAGTGACATGAGAAAAGGTAGCAAGAGACATTGCCCCATGAAAAAATCTGATGTTTGGGGGGAAGAGAAAACCCTAGGAGCTGAGATAAGAGGAGGGGGTTGTAAACAAAAGGGAAGGATTCAACATTCATTTCTACACACACTTGCAAAAACCAGAAAATAGAGAGAGCAAAATAATACCCTAAAAAACAGAAAAATAGGAAGCTTTGCAAACCAGAAAAAAGAGAGTGATATAGAACCAAGAGGATCATTAAGAAACAAAACCTTCACAACATAGAGGGAAGAGGAGTGAGGTACATTCAACCAAGACCAATGAGGACTTGCAAGAAGGATAGAAAGCTCTTGGGTATCCATTTCCTCCAACCTTTCTCTCTTTATATTTTTGCTATTTACATTCATTTCGTTTACTCTTTTATGTGTTGTTGTATTGTATGCATCATATAAGGTTCTAAGGGTTCCAAAAAACCATTTTTAAGAACCAATAGAAAGGAAGAAAACCACAATAGCCAGCAAAAAATACAGCAAATACTGTATTTTTCGCTTCAGGTCGCGGCGCGAACTGTCAAAAACAGAATGAAAACTTTTCTCAGTTCGCGGCGCGAACACCCTTCGCGGCGCGAACATGCAAAAACAGAATGTTCACTTTTCTCAGTTCGCGGCGCGAACTGATCAGTTTGTTTATTTTCTTGCTGTCTTTACCTTATGTTTTTTTTTTTGCAAAGGGTGTTAACCCCATATGTTTGTATGATTTTAATATGTGAATATTGTTATTGCCCTTGTTGACTTTTGATTCCAAAAAACCATTTTCAAAAACAAACTCTCGATTTTATCGAGCCATTTTCAACCCTTGTAAGTCGGCCGCCTTGTTCGTCCGCCATCGACCTTGTTCGTATCACCTCAAATACTTTTACAAACAATAAACCTTGATCCAACGTCAAGTGGTTCTCTTTTCTCATAAAAAATCCAAAACACAATAACATAAACGATTAGAATTATGCACCACGAACTTTAGAGTGGTGGAAAAGAAATGAGAATGGAGTCCTCCTACACTCGTTCCGAATGTTTTGGATACAAGGCGCTCGACTTGGTTATTCGAAACGTTCATTTCTATCCAAAGACTTTTGTGTATAATCCTAATCAAGAACAATTTCTCTTAAGAAACTTAAAAATAACATCAACTCATCAAACCTATTTTCGCCTTAGGGCATCAATCCAAAAGCCCTTTTTCAAGGTATAAAATCAACCAACAAACAACAATTTCACAAGCCTCCGAACTACGGAGCTCTGATTCTTCGCTTCTTTTAAGTGAGGATACGTAGGCACAAGGGCCACAATCCTTGGCGAGCATTAAAATAAAACACCAATCCCTCTTTCTTTAAAATAAGCAAACTTTTAGAATAAAACACACATTCACGCTAAATAACCTAGGAGGTTCCCATCGAGTACGATGGATGCGAGGGGGTGCTAACACCTACCCCTCGCATAACCGACTCCCGAACCCTAAGACTTGGTTGCGATGACCACGCTCTTTCCCAAAGGTTTTATCGCTATTTCCCTTTCCCTCCTTGGGATAAATAAAATCCGGTGGCGACTCTATGTCATTTTTCGCGTAGCGATACATGTCCTTTGTTCATATGAGAGTTTTAGCTTAGGTCTTGAATATGCATTAAGAAAAATGTTATACTTGTACACCATGTGTGTGTTTGTTGTTTCATGTTAATCATGTCATACTTTGAACCTGTCTTATACTTTAAGGTAGCTCTTTGTTGAGTCATATGTTTAAAGATAATGTTGATATTTTGTGATATATCATATGTGTTTACACATTCATCTTGTTCTAGTGTTGCCTAATCCAAGGGGGGGGGGGGGGGGGACTTTGTGTTGACTTTATGTCATTTTGCATATGCATCTCCATTTTCTTGTACATCTCTTGCATGATCGTTGTTATCTCTTAGATTTTTACCTTTTAGGGAGTTTCCCTTATGTTAAATTCAACTTTAGATGATTCAATTAGGATCTGCTCTTCTCAAATCAAAATCTCTTTCAATAGAAACTTTGACCTTAGGTCATTGACTTTTCAAACTCTTTTCTCAATAAATGCTTCAAGATATCTTAAGCATATTCAAAGTTCTATTTCATAAAACATTTTTAATTTAAAACATAAAAGACACAAACCTTATTCAAAATCTTTGCCACTTTTCCTTTTCAATTTAAAACGTTTTCAAATAGATTAGACATTAGTCATCCCTAGTTGAGATATAATCCTCCTACCCCATGACATTGTTGAGAAAGATGTTGATTCTTTTCCCCTTGAGAGATGTATGTGACATACTTGTTCGATCCCTTCTCTCAATGTGAAGCAAAGATCCATCTACCACATGTTTGTTGTGGATACGTTGAGCATTCTCCTTAAGATGACAACTTGTCTCTTTTTCATTAAAATCCACTTTAACAAACCCTTTTCAATTTATACCCCGAACTACGATGTTTTGATCCTTCATTGGTATGTAGGCACAAGACTTTGTGTCTTGCCAAACACAAAAATAATATTAAAAAAAACAATTCTCTTCTCATCTCTCCAATCAATCCCAAATAGAAAACAACTTTTAACATAACACAAATACAACAAGAAGTTTCTATAGGATACTATAAATACTTAGGGTGTTAATATCTCCCTTTAGTATAACCAACTCCCGAATCTTAAATCTCTTTATTTCTTTATTTTGCATTGCATATTTATGGGTTATTCTTTCTTTTCCCCTTCCTTTGGATAAATTAAATATTGGTGGTGATATCTTATGATTTGTGAAGCCTAGTTAATTTAATAGCTATGGTCTCCGATTCTCACCGTGACAAACACGTTTATATAAGAATTCATAGAAGGCTTTCTTTCATAATCATGTAATCCTCGAAACACAAAGTTGTACAAACATAAGCAAATATGGGTTCCAAAGAGAGATTTCAGAAAGACAGCTATACTGAATGCAGTAACTCAGGCAAATGAAAGTAATGCAGCATCTGGAGGATCTACTAGTAAGAAAATGACTTCATAAGCTTTCACCTTTTCAGCATCCTTTGTGACGTCACACAAAAGAAAAAGATTATTGGGTCCAGATGCAAAAATCAACTGAGAAAGGAGGCTTTGGAATTTGCCAAGGAAGAATGGCAAGATTACTTAGATAATCTGGACATGTCAGATGATCCTAGAGAATACCTTAGGACCAATCCATCAGACTAGAATGTCTAAATAATTTGTAATCCCTTCCTTCTTTTTTATTCTTTTGAACAACTATAAATAAATATAATCAACAGTTAAACTGAATAACAACATGAACAAACTTTAAATTAATAATATGATAACTTAATATAAAGGTTCTAACAATTACAAAACATAACTATGCAGAAATCTAACATCAGAATCTTTCATAGATAGCTTCAAACTTGTCTATTCATATTTTAGATAAATCAGTCTTTGAACTTATGAGAACCAAGCGATTAGTCACTAGCTACCTGGTGTAATTTGGTGACTCTCCTATTTCTTGAAAAATGAAGAAAAAAAACAACACGCCCTCTCGGTCTTTTGTTGAGGTTGAATATCTGTCAATAGAGATTATTACTTGGAGTTAAAATGGTTAAAAAAGAATCTCCTCCAATCTAAGAATTAATTATGTGTTCATTATGACACTCAAGCACCATTACGCATAGCCAAGAACTCTGTTTCCCAGAACACACCTAACATTCAAGTCGATTATCATTTCGTCAAGAATAAAATTCTCAAAGATAATATTTTCCTAATCTATGTGTCTACTACTACTCAGCTTGCAAACGCATAAAAGCTTTAGAAAACCGCAATTTGATGTTGGGAGAAATCAATTCACTAAAGATATCTAAAACCACGATTATCTACAAGACATCGTTGGTTGCTTAAAAAAACTATAGCAAAAAGCTAAGGCAACGCTACAATTTGGTACGGTTTGAAAACCATTCTTGTATCTTAGACAACGGTTTTTTCAAGTTTCACAATGGTTTCGTTAGCGTTGCCGTAGGCAAAAATTTCATAGTAATGGTGGGGGATATTAAACTATATTCGGTAAATATCCTACTAGTAATATTAGGATCAGATTTTATTTCATTCAATAGTCATTTAAAGCGGAATATGATTAGGCACATTGTATTTCTAGAGCTAACATATGCCACCTCGTTTATCTATTTGAGAAATAGAGACATGTGAATCAATTACTTCCAGATCTCGTGTTAACTTATTTGTACACAGTGACGATTTATACATGAACTTCATCTTTCTTCGACATATATTGATTTTATTCATATTTATTGAATCTAATACCACAGTGGATACAACCTCAAACTTTATTGTAATTTATTTGTAGGCTACAACCGATACAGTTTTACATATAGATTACAGTTTGGATCGCTAGTATGGTGAAACAACAACAGAATCCAGATCAAGATTGAACCTTCATTCAATGACTAACAAGTTGGAAAGGGAACCCCACAAGATATAGCGACCCTTCTGGCACCAGGAGAGTAAACATACTGTTTGAGACTTGGGTTCTTGAGATAACCACAAAGGCATGGCCTTTGCTGTCTTGCTTTTTGGCAACAAAGAGTTGAAGGTGGAGATGAACTTGTGATTGATCCTAAACAAGAGCTGAACTCTACAGGACTACAAGTTAATGCGTTTCCCATGTGAACTCTCAGAAGCACTACAACTATTGCTAAAACAAACACTCTACACATAGAGTATTTCTTCATGCTTGTCTTTGTGGTGACTAAGGATTCAATTGGATTATTAATTGCTTTCAACTCTAACGTAATTATGTGCCTTTTATATAATGAAATGTTGTTGGTAACGTGTTCAAGGGTATGTTTAGACTTGGGATTGAAGAATTATGAGGCATAGGATTGAGTCAATATTTTGTTATCAAGTCATTCTCATGGGTCAAAATGTAGCCGTGAATGAAGGGCTAAAATTATAGAATGGCAAATTTGAAATTATTATATGACTAGAATTCTTGACAAGAAAAAGGAAATTTCCTAAACTATTAGAATTTTGCATAGGATATAGAAAAAGGAAACTTCCTAAAATATTATAATTTGGGATAGGATATATCTTGTTGAAGAACCGATTAATTCTTGAAAGGGAGTTTGTAAGTTAACTCAAAGTATTAGGCTTGAAAGGTTATCTTTGACAAAACCAAACCACAACGGGAATCAAACATTATTCTATTAAATAAAATTGATTGTATGATCAGATTTTGCCATAATATTTTATTTGAAGTTATGTTTCTATCCAATTCATAAATGTTAAAATCTTTTTCAATAGTTTCTCTTATAGTTTTTTTAAAGTCTTTTTTTAGCTTTAATTATTTGATTTCTCTTCGTCAAATCTACTATCTTTACAACAGAATCAACTAATCTTCTCTCTACATAACCAAATTATTTAAGCTATTTTCTATCATTTTTTCTATTATAGGTATTATTCCCTATACTCTCTCTAATTTTATCATTTCTAATCTTATCCCTTTTAGTCTTATCACTAGGGCTGGAAATGAGTCGAGTCGAGTCGAACTCACCTCAGCTCGGCTCGACTCGTTAAGAATTGTTCGAATTCGAGTTCGAGTTCGACACGAACTTTTTTTTAAGCTCAAACTCGACTCGTTATAAGTTCACGAACAGTTCGGTTCGACTCGTTAGGTTCATCTCATTAGGTTCAGCTCACATGGTTCACGAACTTAAAAACTATTTTTTTAAATATATATATTTTTTAGTATATTTGACATTTTAAATAAATATATATTTTTTAAATAAAATATTAAAATAAAATAAAATTTATCATATTGAAATTTAACTTTATCTTCGAAATGTACTAATTCAAAACCTACACAACTTTCAAGAGATACATTTGAAAGTCTAATTCAAAAACTACTAAATTGAAGATTAAATTTGTCTAAGATTTGAAGTAAATATTTAAACCTAATCTTAAAGACAGTATAATTCTTTTCATATGTAATCGAGTTGACTCATGAACCCAACGAGTCGAACTATGTATAGTTCAAGTTCAGCTCATTTAGTTAACGAACTTAATTTTTCGCTCATACTCAACTCATTTGGTTCATGAACCTAGTTCAACGATTTAATTGTCGAGTCGAATTCCGAACTATCTTCGAGTTGATTTGGTTCATTGCCAGCCCTACTTATCACACATCCAACATAACATATTCATCTCTTCTACACTTACTTTATTCCCTTGTCTATTTTGAATCGCACAACATTTTGTCTCATACAACTGTTGGGTCTTGCATTGAGGGTTTGCTACAAAACTTGAACAAGAAGATAAAAATTAGATTATGATATTTGTACAAAATAAATTCAAAATGTGTTCAATTAAGTTTTACGTTTGATACAGCCTCAAGCCCTAAATCCTAAACATGAATCAGTGAATCTCCTTTGGAGTACTTTAGAAACTTTAACATGAATCACACATTCACATCGATCATATTAATCAATGGCATTTTACAAAATAAATTTCTCTCATTTATTCTTGTGCATTAGAAAAATAAATAAATGACTTAGATATAAGTTTGGTTCATGAATTATGTGATTTGTTTTTGTTTTTTTGAACGGTCACATTTATGTGTTTTCAACTTGTAAAATATCTTTATTTATAGAGAAACTTATGTCACTTGGTGAAGAGAGAAACATTTTTTAAAATTTGAAAAATTGATTAATTTGCAACTATTACATACTATTACCGTTCAAATATCAATCTGAGGCATTGATTATGTGGCATTATGTCATGTCCATGCGCCATTTGACCAAGGACTGAAGTCGATGTGTCTTTTGGTATTTTTCTTTTGCCATTTATTTTGTTGAAGTAACAAATAAAATTCAAAAACAACAAAACCAAGTTTTGAACCAAGTTAACACTTTTTTAAACTAGCATGCTATTTATAAGAAAATTGGCACACTAACCTAATGGGTATTTTAACAATTACTCATTACAAGCTAACTTAGGGTACAAGCTAACTTAAACAATCAGGCTTACAAGCAAGACCCAATTCAACGTGCTAACAAATCTAGCAATATTGACTAATGAATGTTAGAACAAACTTCGACTATAACACGCATTACTCGCAACTAGACTTCGACCATACTAGAGTTCGATCCAATATCTCACGAATCTCCACCTTGGATCTAACTCTATAACATCAAGAAACTAACTTTCTTCATGCAACTTTATCAACTGCATATAGTGAAAAAACTTGCAACTGGACAACATCTTGGTGATCATATCAGCAGCATTATGATCTGCCGAAACCTTCAACACTTGGACTTCTCCATGCTCGATTACCCCTCTGAAGAAATGTAGCCTCACATCAATGTGTTTGGTTCGCTCATGATAGGCTGAATTTTTCGATAAATGTATTGCACTTTGACTATCACATTTAATAGTGATAACTCGACCTTGAAGTTTAAGCTCCATTGCAAAACTTTTAAGCCACAATACTTCCTATACAACTTTAGTTAGGGCGATATATTCTGCTTCAGTGGTTGATAAGGCAACGACCTTTTGAAGTGTTTTTTTCCAACTGATTGTTGTCCCAAACATAGTGAACACATATCCAAAAATAGATTTTCTGGAATCCATACAACTTGCATAATTAGAGTCGACAAATCCTTCGATAGATGATTTACTATCTTCACCCAAGGCTCCACCATAAATTAAGACTCTATTCAAAGACCCATTTATGTACCTTAGAATCCACTTCAATGCTTTCCAGTGAGCCTTTCCAGGATTCGCCATGTACCTGCTTACAAGACTTACTGCATATGTTATGTCGGGTCTAGTACAGACCATAACATACATCAAAGAACCCACTATATTAGCATATGGAATGCTATTCATATATGCTCTTTCGACATCAGTACTGGGACATTGATTTATACACAGCTTGAATTGAGGGTTTGTCAGAGTCACAACATGCTTTGAATTCGACATACCATATTTTTCAAGAATCTTCTGTAGGTATGCCTCTTGAGATAAGCATAATTTCGAATGCTTTCTATCTCTTCGGATGTCAATCCCAAGAATCCTGGACACACCTCCCAGATCCTTCATGTCAAACTCCTTATTGAGTTCAGCCTTCACGCTCATTACATCTTCGACATTGTTGCTTGCTATTAGAATATCATCCACATAAAATAACAGAATAACAAATGAATTACCAGGTTGAAATCTGAAGTAAACACAGTGGTCGAACTGACTTCTAATGAAACTTATATGTGTCATGAACTTATCGAATCTCTTATTCCACTATCGATGAGATTTTTTGAGTCCATATAAAAATCTCTTCAGCTTGCACACATAATCTTCCTTCCCTTTTTCGACATACCCTTCACGTTGTCTAATTAGGATTGTTTCTTCTAAATCACCATACAAGAACACAGTCTTTACATCCACCTGTTCCAGTTCAAGGTCGAACTATTCCACTGTAGCAAGCAACATTTGAATGGATATGTGCTTCACAACAGGAGAGAACATATCATTGAAGTCAACACCTTATTTCTGAGTGAACCCCCTAGCGACCAATATTGCCTTGTATCTCTTCGACGCCACTCCTTCGATTCCTTCCTTAACTTTGAAAATCCATTTACAGCTTACTACCCTGGCTTCAGCAGGTTTCTTGATCAGTTCCCAGATGTTGTTATCATGAAGAGATTTCATCTCATCATCCATGGCCTTCGGCCATTCAGTCTTCTTTCGACTCCTCATAACTTCCTTATAGTCGCTAGGTTCTTCGTCTAAAACCTCACTTGCAGAGATAAAGGCATAAGATATAGGATTTGCATACCCAAGTATCTGAGGTGGCTTGATGACTCTCATAAACCTGTCTCTTGCTAGCAGGTAGTCATTATCAGTCACCTCATATTCGACAACATCTTCTGCGTCTTCTTCGACTTCATCTAGAATACGCAATTCAGCATCAACATGCTCCACCTCAACAGGAATCTCTCTCTGTTCCATCTCTTCATCAGCATTACCAGTTTTCTTGAAAGCCATCTCTGCTTCATTGAAAATTGCACCTACTGTGACCTGGATCTAGGCACCATAGCCTATAAGCTTTGACTCCTTTAGGGTATCCCATGAACATGCATTTCAGAGCTCTAGGTTCGACCTTGTCATGCCTAATGTGAGCATAGGCCACACAACCAAATACTCTCAGTCTGTCGAGACTAGGTGGATGTCCTGACCAAACTTCTTCAGGTGTCTTCATTCCCAAGGAAGTCGAGGGACGTCTATTTATCAGATAAGCTATTGTCGAAACAGCCTCTACCCAAAACACCTTCTTCAATCAAGCACTAACCAACATGCATTTAAACCTTTCAAGGATTGTTCGATTGAATCTCTCAGCTAAGCCATTTTATTGAGGAGTACCTGCTACAGTCTTATGCCTTGGAATCTCAGACTCAACACATTAACTGTCAAACACTTCATTTCAGAACTCAAGGCCATTGTCGGTTCTCAACCTTTTAACCTTTCTGTCAGTTTGAGTTTCGACCAGAACCTTCCAACTTTTAAAATTCTCTAAAGTTTCATCCTTCGTCTTTTGGATGAATACCCATAGCTTTTTGGAATAGTCATCAATGATGGATAGAAAATACCTTGCACCTGAGTATGAAGGATCCTTGCAGACCCCCAAAGATCAACATGAATGTAATCCAGAGATCCATGTGTTATTTGCTTGCATTTG